ACTTTGAAAAATCTTATAAATTATTTTTCAAATATCTACTGGAATTTAAAACTACGAAAGGCAAATTGTTTTGCGAACATATATAAAAACAGATAGCTCGATGCACAATTCTTTTATACCTAAAATTTACCGCATTCGGGTATTTATGGAAGCATACGCTTATTAAATGAAATCATTTATGTTCCTACGCTTTTTTTAGATCCTAATCAGACTAGCGCTTACGCATAACGTTCATTATTTGATAAACAATGACATCGCAGAATGCATATAACGCAATATTCTGTTTTTAAAGGAATTGCAATCGTAATAAAATATAAGTTTGCACATGTTATTGAAATCTACAGTAATTAAAAAGTAAACTCAATTATTTTATTAGTAACTTTGAAAAATCTTATAAATTATTTTTCAAATATCTCCTGGAATTTAAAACTACGAAAGGCAAATTGTTTTGCGAACATATATAAAAACAGATAGCTCGATGCACAATTACTAACTACCTTTAATTATTACCATTACTTTTTCATTACTAACACATCTATCACACACTCACTATAAAAATGGATAAGTTATTCCAAATTTACACGAATTATGTCTATCTCAAAGCATTTGTACAAAATATTGATTTTCAACTAAAACACTGTCTATAACAGGGATGGCAAACCTTTTTCAATGAATGGGTCAAAAATTATATTTTTATCACTTAATAGAATAGAGTGGGTCACTGATATTTAATCAATGTTTGTATCTATAAGAAACTTCTGAAATCTTATAAGTTTCACTTGGTGTAGTTTTGTGCTTTACTTATGCAGCACTTCTATCAGGGACTTTTTATAGCACTCGATTTCATGAAATTAGACTATGAAAACACGGATATGAATAACCAAAAATGTTTAGGATGATGCGGCAAATTATTTTACAGACCAAAGAGTTTGGATGGAATTCCACTCTGATAGAGTTTTATTTTTCGATCATCTTTCAACCACATTAAGGCATTCTCACACTGACCCATTGTTATTTCAGATCTCAAGGTTTTTATTTCAAGTCTGAAAGATTTTGTTTTCACAACGGCATTGTAAGTGAGAAAATGCAAAGTAGCATCTAGTTCTCGTATAACCCGTAAAACAGTATGCAGATGCACTTCCGAATAAGACAAGACTTTGCGAGAAATGAACAGATCAATTGCATTATTATGTCATAAACGATGTCAGAGCCAATAGCTGAATAACGGTACACAGCGGTGCAGACATGCGTCCAACATTAGGGGTTCTGAAAATTACCACACCGGCACTGAAATTAGCAATTTAAATAAGAGCGATCGCAGCCCTGACTGCCCAACTGACGGTACATTATAATAGTTTAGTTAGTGTTTGATTAATTTAAGGGCGGTTTAATAAATTTTTATCACTGATATGTTGGCATTTTTTTATTATTTTATTCGTGCTTTGGCGGGTCACGAATAAAACGCGGTGGGTCACTTTGTGACCCGCGGGTCAGTGGTTCGCCATCCCTGGTCTATAACATGCTATATCAGATTTATCTTGGTAGATTTTGCTGGGGAGTCTACTCGAGTCCCGTTAGGATGATTGCAAATTGTTCGAAGCAAGGTCTCGAACTCTCAACTGCAAGTGGAATAAGTACTAATCGAAGATTACAAGTTTGCTGTCCCGAGTCCACAGCTAAAAGTGAAAATATTACTCATTGAAGAGTTGCAAGTTTGCTGAAAGCAAGATCATCATGCATACTAAATGAAACTTCATACTGTGAGAACCTCTTTATCTAGCAATTTTTATCAATTCTCAGTAGCTAGCTCACGAAACTTCAGTTGTCGCCGAAAGTTTGCTCAACCACGAGATTCCTTCTCTTCTGAGTGATTACAAGCAATGCACTGTCATAACTTTGTACTACTAACAAGGCAGCGATTGCAATATTCTTTTTTGTTAACTGTTTGTTTCGGCTATTTTTACAGCTCAATTCATCACATCTCACTTTATATTTTGTTATTTTTCACATTGCTCTAGGTATTGTATGTCAATTTTAATTAATTAGATTGCTTTGACTTTTGACTACATGAATATTCGAACTGCAAAAGTACGTGTTACGTTTGCTACTTACTAAGTTTTGCAACTATTATGTCGTTTTTAAAATAACAAGTTGCCTTGGATTTTGCGGGCTTCCTTCCATTGATCTGATTATTGGACACTTTAGTGGACATAACGATTATTTCAATATTATGATGTTTTTGGTATTATTATTCTCCTTTGTCATGATAAAATCGCTTTTCTCTTCGAATACTGGACCAGTTGCTTCGAAATTTTAAGTGGTTAAAGTTTGATTTTTTCCAGTAAGCTATTACTTTTATTTTTATTTATACCTCAATTTTCTAGGAATCCTATAAGATCTGATAATTTCGTTGTTTTAAAATTTACTCATGGGAACACTATGGGAACACTTTGAAACCTATTTCAAGCGGTTGCGTGATCGAGCCTGCAGGTACGGAACATGGAAGAGCTATGACAGTCCTTGTACCGTTAGTTGTATCCATGTACTAGTAAGTCAGTTACCATAGCCATGTAGCTGTTTCACTATTCAGATTTATGCCGGATACCGTACCGAAGGCGGCGTAGAGTACCCTATGGTTTTCGGTGAAGTGATGATAATATATTTCGTTTTATTCTAAGTGTCTATATATTTGAGCATAGCTCTCTTGTTATATGTCGACTCAAATCGAACAAGTCGGAGTGAAACATTCATTCCAATGGTTGCTTTGGTCCAATGGTTGTCGAAAATCTCATTCAGATTGATTGGACCCGCAATATAAAATTTTACGATCCACGTTCACTATCGCTGTGATTAGATATTGAACTGTTCCATACTTCCATATTATCTGGTACAATATAAAATGATTACGCATTTTAAGTGATTCAAGAGTCTTTCTGCGCAGTAGCACCAACATATTTTTGTGGCGTTTTGTCTGAGAAGGGTCAGACTTCCTCAGACGTATATTATTCAACTACAATAGAAGAAATAATTGTTATTTTTTTTTGGAGCGTTTTTACTCCGCCAACATTCAAAAATAGGAAAAATAGTAATTAACAATAATCGATGCAGACTGCGCAATAAATTCAAATTTTTAAAGTATTCCTAACCCCGACACTAAACCTAAATGAATATTTACTAATATTCGTATTTTTAAACGTGGTGTTAGGATTAGCGTACGCGCAAATACTCAAAAAATGGCGAGCACAATCTGCAGTATCTAAAACACGGAAAGAGTGTTTTTCCCCAAATCTCACAATTTTGCATTAGTGGCTTTGTACAAAATATCCATTTTTATTGCCATAATTGAGAAATCTATCAAGATTCATTGAATAACGACAACTCCTAACTAGCTTTCTCTCATAGTTGTCCAGTTCAATGCAAATATAGAAATAGTTCATCGTTCCACAATTTTAGAACCCTCACTCATAGTTATCCCCCACGAACCTATACAAGTTGTTCACAAGCACGATAAAGGGGTGTTTCTGAAGCAATTTTTCATGAAAAAAATTCAATCCGTTCTATAAAGATATCTGCTTTTTTATTTTGCAAACTTACCATCTCATATACAGGGGCGGATTGAGCCCCTTTGGTGCCCTAAGCACTGAAGACTTTGGTGCCCTCTTTATGTCTAATTTAATTATAAAAACAATAAACCACATAAGTGTATTATCCATTGAAAATGATTACAACCAACAGTAAATAAAACAACCATTACGAACATCTTTAGGTTTTTAACTGTTATATATATTCGATATATATATCGGCCATTTACTGCCGATATGATATATCGGCAAACACGCAATATCGGTCCTATATATCAGCTGAGCTCTAATCCCGAGAGAGTGTGACAATAAAGATTCATACCTCCAGTCTCAACGTGAATCGAAATACCAAAGAATACAAGTCCCAACTGTAGTTTGAAATTTTATCGTTACCTAGTAGTCTACCTCAGGGTGGTTCAAGGTTGCTAGGTTGAAGGACCGCAAAATTTTTTGAGGAGGCCTCGCGGGCCGCAAGTTGGAGAAAACCCAAAGGTGATCGAAATATTGCGAGTTTATATACTTTAAATATTTAATAAACAACGAGAGTTTACCGTTCTAAACAGACTATTATTATGTTGCATAAGTGGCGTTTTTTTGAAAAAAAGATGGATAAAGCCTTCAGTCCGTTTATATGTGTATAACGTTACAGATAATATAACGACGCGATTCGAATTAACTTGGATAGACGATCTGACCATAGCCGAATTAATTTCCGGATCTAACAAACTGACACATTTTGAAACTTATTCATTAACCAGTCGTACAAATGAGGGAATTCTACAACAAAGGTTCAAAATTCTACTCGCGAATATGCAACGAATACAAGTTCTGAAACGAGTTTTAAGTACTATGTCATCAAATGCCTTTCCTCTAATAACTTACTTTTAAAAACGCATAAACGCATCCAACAACTTACTGAGCAAGTTTCACCCTTTTTCAACCCTTTCTTGTTGAAACAATTTGAGAAACGTTTTCAGCTTTCTGCAACATCAAATAATTTCAGATATTGTGTTCTCATGGGATAAATTATCTTAATTTCAGGAACCTATTTTGTGATCAACCTGATCCCTCTGAGAAATAGTAGCAAAAAAAAACAAAGATATTGCGCAGAAGCTGAATTTATTACGAATTATGATTTTTCAAAATCCAAAATTTTGCAAAAAAATCTTCGAACTTCACGCAAATTTGAACATTTACTACTCGGTATAGTAAAATCAGCAAATCGATGAAATTACGAATCATTTTTATGTTTAATAATGTGAGCTGCAGTTTAAAAATTTTCCCATTTTAATTTACATTATTATAGCTGTGATAACGACATCGATCAGCGTAAAGCTAATCGTATAAATTTAGTTGGGATTCAATGATTTCTATTTTATTCATAATAAATGAACAAACTACAGCCAGGCAGACGTTTACTTATATCAGTATCTCACAAATCACTCCATGCTTCTTCCAGGTAGGAGGAACATTCACCATTCCTTGATAATGAGCATTCGTGTTGGAATCAACAATGATATAAACGTTTGTACGATCTTTATAATCAGTTCCCTTTACTGGATCACCTGGAAACCATTTAATGAATGAATCTGCAGGTGTGACGTCACCAATCTGAAAATAAAATCAGTCATCATGATTTTTTAGATTAGCGTTATCATGGAATCATGCATGATAGCTCAATGGATATATTGTCCTAAATTACCTATTTTATCAGTCAAAATGCGATATGCTGTTGTCGACCCATGTTTGGTCAAATGTGAACGCAAGTTTTTCTAGTAGCTCATGTGATATTATTTAAAACTTCTCGTTCATGTGCTGGGCAAGGATTTGTTCAAAACTATTGCACTGCACAATTGCTATATGACTGAACTCTTAGCAGTTCAGTGCAACACGAGTCTTAAAACTACTTCAGAAATGTACTTTTGAATGCACTTTAAATACACAATAAGTTTGAATCAAACTAGCGCTCTGATGCACATGAATTGTCACGGTATGCAAAATATACTTATCCCACATGGATCAGAGACAAATTCAATATGTGTATAAGTAAGTATAAATAACCAATATTTTTTAAAACGTTGGGCAGAGGAATGGGTGTTCTATAAACATGGTATTGAAAGTATTTAATTCGGTGGAATTGCAACATATTATGATGAACAATAGAACACCGTACAGTTAAAGAAATAGTAACTTCATTTGCCTACTTATTTCAGCATAACCTTCAACATAGCTGCAGTTTCCTTGACAGCACTACATTATCATAAAATTCAAAAAAATAGACGGGACGGCATAGCAGTAACCAACGAAGCAGCAAGTCAGACAAAGCGAATTTAACAATAATGCCAACTTCATAGAGAAACAAGTACAATAATTGTGATTCAATAGTTTCACCTTGTGGTCTTGTCCATAATAATGGGATAGGACAGCACTTTGTATTTCCCATGGGACAATAACCATGTCATAGCAACTTGATTACGTCAGAGCTAACCTTAGTCCTTATGACTTTTACCTTTCAAATGTTTTTTCTTCTCCTTTTTCTATGTATACTTTTATCTGTTTTTAATTCATGGTGGCATAAATAAATAGGATTCCAATGAAAAACGTCCCATGAGATGGAAAAGGCAGGAATTGCTCTAGGAGGATTAAATTTGACATAAAATATGTCCGGTGGACAAACCTGGGGCAATGCATATAACTTAAAATATATGACAACATCACTATTTTGCGTTTTCTAGGACATTCATCTTCTGAGTAAATTTACCCGGACTCAGGAACAGATGAAACGTAAAGAAAAAGTATTTGAAATACCGCCTGCACAGTTGTATATAATATACTAACCCAAGTTGTCACAAACGTCTTTGGCCATTTCTCACCCCACACTCTACCCATTTGTAATGTATTTTATATTCATAAACCGGAGAAAAATTGGCATATCCATAAGATACTAACCATTGGATTAAACTTCATTCCTGTCCATATCGAAATTTCATGCTCTCCCTCCGGAATATTCCTTCTCAAGTAATTCATTATTGCATTGTAAGATTTCATATTTCGAATCAAGCCAACATTTGCGTTAAGTTTCTTACAAATATCAACTGCTTTTTTGTAGACGACATCCCATTTACCTGGCATCATAAGGAAATAGCAGATGTTTCCAACCTTTAATTTGCAGTTTTCTGAAGAAAAGTATTGACAATTTTCAGGATACGAAGTCTACATATGTATCGTTTTGTTATTGTCACAATGTACTTCTTTTCATAAAAATCAATCGCTTTTCTCTTCATCTACAGAACCAGATTCTTTGTCATTTTCATTGGTTTATAGATTGTTGCCTAGAAGGCTATTTATTTTAAAAAAATCTGTTGGCTTTGTAAAACTTGTTTTTGTGCGATGACGTCATCTAAATTAAAAGGCTGTTCCGTTTTTGCGTAAGTTGATATCTGTTGGTCAGGCAATGTCGTGAAAACTGCGGTACAGGGTATCTACTGCGACAGATTGCATACCCGTACTAGGTCGTTTAAAATTTCATGTCAATTTAATTGTTTATCGCTCTTTTGATTTTAGGTGAAATCAGATCAAATTGTTGCTACAGACAAGAAAGACTAGTCTTTCAAGTTTATCAGATAACGCTTATGTTCTTCCTGGTTTCAATTATTAAAAAAAAAATAATATTTTATAGTCGCTATAATGCGAATTTATTCGTCAAATATTCATAAACTGGAAATTGAAATACTATTCACCTGGAGGAGGAGTTGGTTTCAATGTCGTTCTAGTCTTTGCTGTTGGTTCCATTGTTGTTAGAGTCTTCGTTGTTGGTTTCAATGTTGTGTTAGTATTTTTTGTTGGTCTGGTGATCTGCCCGGATCTATTTTGAGCATGCAGAGGCTTTTCCATAACGGAAAGTTTTCGTTCAATCTGGGATATCGCTAAATGGTGATATAAATGTTAGAAACGTCCATTTGCCACTTGCTAAAACGACAATGCTATAGCAATGTGTTTCACTATTTACAAAATTCTGGCGTTTAGTCTGTTCAGTGTTGGAGTAAAAAATAAATTGGCCACATGTAATGTCTCTGATGGATAATCTCATTCAAACTTGTCCCTATGATTTTCAATTTACACTCACGACAGGCGCCCTGTGTTTTAAGGCAGATGTAAAAAAAATATCACTTCTTGTGAAGGTAAATTGATTGGGAGAATATTTCCGCTGCATAAACAATCCACACACTTTCCCATGAAATGTTTTGTAAATCAATTATACTTTGAAAAAATGTCCTCTGTTCATACTTTAAATTTTTTTTTATCTACTGATATGAACTCTCAGACCCAAATTATATCCCGGTAAACTACAATTTCAACATAGAAAATTATTAGACAAATATTGCCTTTCTTCATTTTTTCGTTGTCTTCTACCAACTTTTCATTCATTTCTCGGATTTCAACCAAGTCTGAAAATATGAAAATAATCAGTAAATCTTCCTACATGTTCGTTGCAGTGAGAATGTGATAGGAACGTAGAAAAAATTAAAGACTCTGCATTTACTCTGTTTGTTAGTATTTTTGCGAAAAATCTTCCATCAAGGAAAATAGGAAGAAGATTCAGAATACCTTTGCGTTAAAAAGTCGTGTATGATATAGTGTTGATGACGATAATAAAAATAATTTAAGTTACGTTCAGTTATCGCTTCGAGTATTTGTCATTTATTTTGGCATCAGCAATTGCAGTATAACAAGCGTCACGCTGTTGACCAACCTTTTTTCAATTTCCTGATCTCATCAGACTGCTTCGTGGTTCTCCTCATTAGATTGTTTATTTTAGTAGATTGATCTCCAATTTGGTTGAGAGATTCGTTATTTTCTGTTGAGAATAAAATTTTTCCGAATACTTTTATTAAAGCACCGATTTTGATAGCTTCGATATCTGAATGCATATTCATTTATAACACTGAAGTTCTGGAGCAGGATAATTGTTAGGATAATTGTTTTCAAATTTTCAGAAATAGCAAATGAAATCTCTGCTCTTATGCAAGGCGAGTATACAAAAAGGACTATTTGTAATTTTCCGAAACTGACAATTCAAACAAGTTATAACAACAGCCTCTTCTAATTCTTCATCAAAAAAAGATTTAGCAATATAAACTACTAGTAACAACGTGTAACGTTTAGATCTTTTGTTCACTTTTTTCCATTTTTGTAGCTTTTGATCTGTTACGGAAGAAAGATTTCTATAAAACAGCAGGCTGTATGTATATTCGGGTACTTTTTGTTAAATGAAAGTTTGAAATAAACAGAACAGAAATCACAAAGAACAAGAAAATTTAGGATTTTACTGTAATAAGGCGCTATTGTACACTGACCAGAAATTTCTTTCCCGAAACTCTCAATTTTTTCATAAAATTTATCTTCCAAATTTTCCAATCCTATTCTGATATTTGTGATATCTGAATGAAAATTGAAGATTTTTTTAGATTCGATTAAATGATAAGGTTGGCGAAATACATTATTTCTTGGTAGGTAATAACTCAAAACTCAACTTCAAACAATAATTATTCAATCAAGCAATTAAAACAACCATACCCAAATTTCTGGCTGCGAGATCAAGCCAGCTAAGAACAGTACTATTGGACTTGCATGTTATCGGATACTCTTTGTCATGCAGATGGTTATCGATGTTGAAACCTGGTCTGTCCAATCCTACTGCAACGGAATCACATTGTGCAATATTACAGCCCGGTTTAGGTGAGCAGTGAAACACTGTTTCATCTTGAGACCAGGATGAAGTGATGAAGAAGATTAAAATAAAAATGATTGAGATTTTCATCTTGAAACTTCACTGTAGTTAAGTATTAACTGAATGAAGAAAAGTTCAAGTTTGAATTCGTTCATTCCGTTATGTCAATGTGAAATAAAATTAAAAAGGTTTTTAACAATGAATCATGTCTTTTGCAAACGGGCACAAAGCATGTTTAATCTATTTCGAAAAAACCTTACATTAGACAACGCTATTTGTAGCCGAGATAGTAACAATCCAGAATGTGCGTAGCATTTATAGAAGTAGAAAATATTATTTAAAAGCGACATTGCAAATTTATATGATATACGGACGTTTTGTAATGGCGTTTATTTCTAATAAGCATAGTCGATTCAAGGAAAAATGATATCCTTTCAAAAGGAGCTCAGAAAATCTGAAAAACGATTGTTTCAGAATCGGCACAACCTTTTTAAAGATGGCATAGCTTATTCACACGTAATATGGCCCTAATAGAAGGGCTTAACATTTTTATAAAATCATATCCTTATAGTAGCGGTGAGCCTCTATAGAGAAAGCGTAGCTTGTTCAACTGGCATATAAAGCACAAATTTTCGAAGTACGTCCATATTTGTATTGCCTATAATCTATTGTTGTTATTCTATACTACAGTCTCCTGGTACCATTAAGTGACGTTGCGTTTGATAATATCTGGTTTTAAAACTGATTAACTCATATTAGGACTTCTCAAACTTATCGATATCCAGACTTCTCAGCACATAAGGAATGTGCTATAAAATAGCAATTCTATTAAATAGTTGTCTTCATGTAATCGATATAAAACTATACTGATATAAGTTCATCACCTTGCTTTTATGCTTAACAATTTACCGCATTCAGCTATTTATAGAAACATACGCTCGTTATGTCGTGACAGTTCCAGATCTTAATCGGATTAACGATATCGCATGAGGTTCGTTATGGGATAAACAATGACATCGCAGAACTAATTCGAGTTAATCGTAATATTCTATATATCTATATCGCAATAAATTTTAAAAATATTTTTACATATTGTATTAAAATATACAGTAATGTTAGTTGAATTCAATAATATTTAAATAGTGAACGCAATCAGCTTATAACTTTTTACTAAAATACTTTTATAAGACAAGCGTATAGATATTTCTCATTCTGAAATTTAAACCTACAAAGGGTTCGCGAATTGTTAAGCAAACATGGTTTGATGGGGTGACGCATCGTTCTATGCGTTAGAAATACGCTAGCCACCACATAGCTGATGGAAATTCTAACCTGTATGGAAAAAGCTCGGTGCACACTCTATTTAGATTATTACTGACCTCAACTATAACTAAGTGAGTCCGAGTAACATTGCTCGGATGAGTGCCCACAACAAACATGAGTGCCCACAACTTTGCTTAGATGTTAGAGACTTTTTTATCATTGAGTAAATGCAAGTAACTTTGCTCAGAGATGAGTGTCCTTTACTTCTGAGTGAGTGACCGTAACTTTGCTCAGAGATGAGTCTCTTTTATTTTTGAGTGAGTGTCGGTAACTTTGATCAGAGATGAGTCTTTTTTACTTCTGAGTGAGTGTCGGTAAAGGTAACTTTGCTCAGAAATGAGTCTCGTTTACTTCTGAGTGAGTAACGGTAATTTTGTGCAGAGATGAGTCTTGTTTACTTCTGAGTGAGTAACGGTAACTTTGTGCAGAGATGAGTCTCGTTTACTTCTGAGTGAGTGCAGGTAACTTTGCTCAGAGATGAGTCTCGTTTACATCTGAGTGAGTGACGGTAATTTTGTGCAGAGATGAGTCTTGTTAACTTCTGAGTGAGTAACGGTAACTTTGTGCAGAGATGAGTCTACATACGGTTTCTGCCTTGTTCATACTTTCCATATATATACCAAATAATTCAAATATATGACAACTTGTGGGCAGTGGTCGGATTCCATTTTTTAGCAGCCGGTTCCATCACAAAAGTCATATTTTTCACCAGGTTCTGTTACAAAAAGTCATTGACAGTAACCAGTAATGCTAACAGGTTCGCTGATCTCATAACATTCCGTGGGACGGGCCTATAGAACCGGTACGAACCGGCTGAATCCCAGCAATGCTTGTAGGGCTACAAGCAAACATTTTTTAAGTAAATATATTCTTTCTTACAGAGATGGAATGGCTAGAAGGTGACGAAGCGTCATCCGAAACGGCAACCTCGCTGATTTTAAAACTTTTGACTATGAATCCAGATGAAAGAGGGAATTCTAAAGTTAGAAGAACAAAATGTTTCAAGTTTTGTGCTGTTCTGTAATTAAGCAAGTAGATGAATTTTATTTATATTTCCCATCACATTCAATGTTCTCGTATCCATTAGTTATTTTTCACTGGTGGAGTCGAAAGTATGCGGAACGTTTAACTGTTTAATTTTTTCAAGTGACTTGGGCCGTTACTCAGCTGAGAACTCACAGATACTGTCTTTTTGCTCTTCCCTTCCTTCCTCTTTTAGAAAGTCGATAGTCCATTTCTGTTTAATAGGATTTTTTTTTGCATTGATTTCATAAAATAAAATCTAACATAGGAATATCATATTTCAAATGTATAAATAATATATTCACATAATATTCCACTTTTTATTATGTATACCTATTTTGCCCCGGTTAACTGCATACCTTTTCTCGTTTTCTTTCAAACTTTGGGTAAAGTTAACAAAAAGGTCAAATATTGGAAGAATATGCTGCAGCTTACATCGAGATATAAAAAAAACGTGCACAAATTAATATACAATTGATTAACATGTTATTCGGGGGTTCAAAATAACCTAAAAAACATTCTTTTTTTCTAGAGTAATTGAGAGATTGACAGTAATAAAATATAAGTATTGATTAACCTGTGCCCAAAAATCTTGCGTGGTTGGACAATAAAAAAAAAGTGAAATAGGTCTTCAATTGCATTTTCACAAAATCCACATAGATTTGAATTCATCAAGTTAAATTCATATAAAATATTATTTAGTACAATGGCCTTTAGAAAAAAGTTAGTTTGAAAATATCTTAGTTTGGTTTCAATTGTTGAATAATAATTATTTGCACAGTATGACAGCCAAATAAAGTCATTGGGTAAATTTAGATTTTCTTTCCAAAACCTATGTTGTTTTTTCTATAATACGTTTTACGATGAGCGGCACGTATTTTCACATAATGTACTGGATAAAAATTCATCAAAATCAGACATATTTATATTCTGTAAACAATTAAAATCACTAGAATTCTCAATACCATCCATCCAACATTCTGGTATGCAGCCGATTAATTTATAGTACTCTCGATACTCATTTGCGTTATATTTGCATTAACGTTCTATCAGTTGAAAATAAGATAATAAAGAATTTATGTTCACCAAATGGTGTAATTCACAGACTCCTTGCTCTTTCCAGTTTTTTTTTTTTTTTTTTAAATAGCATTCTTGCATATTGCAATTTTGTTGTATCATAATGGTTCATTATATAGATGGATATTGGCATTACATGTTAATTCCTTGCATATGTACCAGGTACGAAGTGTATCCCTAGTTGGTACGAAATGAAGAGTTTTCATGAAGCGAGAGTTATACCATAAATTTCCTTTTAGTAAACAATGTATTTCTATATCTTGTAAATAATAAAGTTCAATAGTTTTCCAATTACTCTCTTTCGACTCATATACCATGTCAATTCCACCTTTCATTGTCGGGTCAATCAGTGTTTTACGATTGACTCTTTCCCAATTTGAATTCGATAAATAACGAAATATTAAAGAATTCAGTGATTTTACGAATTTTTTGGGTATTGTAACTGGTAAAAATGTAAATTGATTTGTAAAAAGGAATAGGATTAATAATTTGATTACACGCACTTTTCCTAGAATTGTAAAACTTCTCATATGCCAAATTTGGATAATGTTTTGTACTAGCTGCAATTTCGACGGCAAGTTAAGTTCATATAGTTGTCTCAAATCAGCCGTAATTGTAATTCCCAACAATTTAAATTCGTAAGTCCATTTCAGATTGTGCTGAATATTTCGTTCAATTATGCCACTTTTACTTCCAATATTTATTGCTTGTGATTTTTCAGCATTTGTTTTGCACCCTGATATTGTTCCAAACACTTCAGCGGTTCGAAGTAATATTTCTATGCCTCTAAATGAACCATCAGTAAATACTACGATATCATCTGCAGCTAGGGCTATTTTGATTTCGTTTTCTGCGATTTTAAATCTAGTGATATCATCATTATTACGGACCGTAGTTGCAAATATATCTATTACTATGAGGAATAAATACGGTGAGATTGGATCGTCTTGTTTATGCCCTCTTTGTGGAATAATAGACCCAGAGAATAAATTGTTGTTTGTTACAAAAAGTTTGTTTTGATTATAAAAAAAAATTATCCGCGAAATGAAGTTGTCTTGAAATCCGAATGCTTTTAGCGACTGGAACAGGAAGCACCATTCGACACTGTCACTGTCTAGGTATTTCATTGTATGATGTATGGTTAACTATATCACAGAGTAATCGTATGTTTTCTCCCATTTGCCTGTTTTGAATAAATCCTCCTTGATCTTTGTGAATTATATTGTCCATAACCATTTGAATTTGTGTGGTGAGTACTTTACTTAGAATTCTATAAACGGTGTTCAATAGCGTGATGGGTTGATAATTTCTCAAATTGTCGGCGGTTTTCCTTTTTTCAATATAAGGGTTATAAAAGTCCTTATAAAATTCGCAAGGTAAACCGTTTGAACCCGGGATTTTGCCGTCTGTCATTTTGAAAAGTGCGTTGTTACATTGCTGTTCTGTAATTTGTCACGAAAACATAAGAGAAATATCATTTTCCATAGCGGATATATTCAAAGTCTCAATAATATTTTGGGTATATATATGGCACGGTAGATCAGGGGCCCCATTCTTCATCATTTAACGTGTTGGTAAAGCACCGACTTTCTCGTAAAAGGCAAAAATGGTATTCACGAAGCATCGTAAATATTCGAGAGAATTTTTTGCGCGACAAAACAGACGTCTCGTAAAGTGCCTTCTTCTCTCATTTTACCGAGAATCACATGCTGGAGTGCTCGCAAACTAACGAGTGCTAATTATCCTCTTTCAAGTAGTTCGGCCTGTTCTTAGCATGGATTCGAGTTGAAATAGTCATTCTGTGGTGTTTGCATGCATTTTAAATCTCTAAATGCCTAACTTAGGTAAGGGTGACTGTAGTCTAATACTTGTAGAGTAGTCAACTCTATTCACTGGAGTAAAGGGCCTGAGCCTATACACAGACTAAATCAAAGCAGCAATTAGTACCGGTACCGGTACTAACATCAAATATAGGATTACATATCATCTATTTCCTTGTCTGTTACAGAAGTAGTAAACAATATGTGTCGTGTCCCTTATTATATTGAAGGCAAATAGACACGTTGTTCGTATGAATGGAATAGTCTTTAATCTTAGCAGCAAAACAGTACCATCACATCAACAACAGCCTACTCGAATCCCATTATTACGCGTCTGCGTCGAGTAGACCCAGACGCTACTATTACGTCACAATACTAACATACACAACACCCCCCTTACTGGAAAGATATGTTTCTAAACATTATCAAAAAGTGAACATAAAACAATTTAAAGAAACTTGCACAATAACGATGTTATCACAATATGACGGCCTTCATAATTATTTACAAATTTAGTTTTTCTGGCGGTCTAGAAATTTGTCCAGATCTTGTAATGTTCACTTTCTCCGTATTTTCTTGATCAGGCTCGTTCGGTTCAACCTGTACATCTGTTTTGATGGGAGATTCTGTTTCTTCGTCCGAAGTTGGTCTTTCTGGAACTTTCTTGAGATGTCGACGATTACGTCTCAACGTACCACTCGGTGTTAGGATCATATATGAACGTGGTGTATCAGCATACCCAGTTATAACACCTTGCTCTTTTTGAAGACCATCTTTGATCCATGCATGATCACTAATCTGCAATTTTTCCATATTTTGAGCTCTGTGCCTTTTATCAAAATGCATCTTTTGTTTCATTTTATCGCCTAACTCTTTATTTTGCAATTCATCCATGTCAGGCCATTTTGGAATCAATTTACTTGAATAAACTGGTAACTTCGTTCTCAACTTTCTTCCCATGGGAAGTTCACTTGGAGAATAACCATTTTTCAAAGCTGTACTTCTATAATTCAGCAATGCCATGTATGGATCTTTTGTTCTTTTAAGCAGATTTTTAATAGTTTGGACTGCACGCTCAGCCTCTCCGTTACATTGAGCATAGCAAGGACTTGTCGTTATATGACAAAATCCATATTCTTCTGCAAATTTTGAAAATTCTCCCGAAGCGTATTGTGGTCCATTGTCAGAAATTATCACTTCAGGTATTCCGTACTTTGCGAAAACTGACTTAAGATGATTGATTACTGTAAGCGACGTCGTATCCTGTAACAATGCAATCTTGATCCATCTGGAGAAATAATCAACAGCTCACAAATATTCAGGATATTCACTCGGAATTAATGGTTGAGTTTTGGTTTGTGAAAATTCACAACAAGAAGGACAGCTCTTACAAACTTCTTCCACTTGCTTGTTCATGTAAGGCCACCACACTGAAGATCTTGCTCGACTTCGGCATTTTACGATCCCCATATGTCCTTCATGTATTTTCTCCAAAATATCAAGTCGCAACGATGCTGGAATTACTAATCTGGTTCCGCGTAGCAACAATCCGTCAATTACAGTAAGATCATCGCGTACTTGGTAGTACGGCAACAATACGTCATTAAGCCTGGATTCATCCGGCCATCCGTGCATACAAAAATTTATAACTTCTTTACAGACAATGTCCTCATTTAAATGTACACGAATTTGCTGCAAGCGCTTTTCGGATGCTGGGAACTCATCAATAACAGAACAAACATAAATATCGCTGTCTTCATTCAGCTGAATATCTTCTTCTCGCATGTCGTCCAGTGGTGCACGAGACAAAGTGTCTGCTATTATCAAGTGCTTTCCTGGGATGTGAGAAATATCGAAGGAAAACCGCATCAATCTCAACCTAAATCTTTGGATTCGCGGAGGCAACTCATCTAGGCTTTTCGTGCCGAATAAAGCAACTAGTGGTTTGTGGTCTGTGTTTATCATGGAATGCATTCCTACGAGAAAATCTTGAAAACACTCACACGCCCTCGTAACTGCTAATGCCTCTTTTTCTAATTGCGCATATTTCTGCACTGTGGTGTTCATAGCGCGTGAAGCAAACGCCACAGATTTCCATTGTCCGTCAGAATTTTTCTGTTTCAGGGTGGCTCCCAAGCCGTAAGAACTTGCGTCTGCTGATACAATAGTTGCACTATTCGGGTTGTATAGCGACAAAACTTTCTTAGACAAGCATTCTTGCTTCACCTTCTGAAACGAATCAATTTGAGATTGTTCCCATATCCATGAATTCTTTTTACTTAATAGGTCACGCAATGGTTTCGATATGTCAGCGAGGTTTCTAGAGAATTTTCCCAATTGATTAACCATTCCCAGAAAAAATCTCAGTTCGGAAACATTTGTGGGAGCTGGCATTTTGGAAATAGCCATGACCTTTTGAGGGTCAGGGTGAACACCTTCTGAATCTATCATAAAACCAAGAAATTTTAATTTTTGGCGGGAAAACTGACATTTGTCGTTTAACGTAAGACCTGCTTTTGCTATCTTTTTCAAAACAGCGTCAAGTATTTTGTCATGTTCCTCTTGGTTTCGTCCGTGAACCAAGACATTGTCCATTGAACATATTCCTATTAAAAGATCTATTAAAATATCGCACATCCTTCGCTGGAAGTGTTCAGGGGCACTAGAGATTCCAAACGGGAGTCTTTCATAACAAAAACGTCCAATAGGAGTCATAAATGTGGTCAATAAACGTGACTCTTTTGCAAGCTTGACTTGCCAAAATCCCGATTTTGCATCGAGTTTACTGAACACTTTCGAACCACTTAATTGTTCCAAAATTTGTTCGGATGCTGGTAACGGATGTTTTTCACGCTTGACTGCTTTATTTAGATGCGTCAAATCTGTAAAAATGCGAACGCTACCATCCGGTTTTGGTACAACCACCATCCCTGCACACCAATCTGTAGGCTCGTTTACGCGGGAAATCACTCCATCTTGTTCCATTTTCAACAGTAACTTTTTAACTTTCGACAAAAGGGGTAACTGTACACGTCTTGGTACGGTTATTGCGAATGGAACAGCATTTTCGTGCAAAACAATTTTATATTCGCCCTCAAGTTGTCCTAATCTGGAGAATAGCTTTGGATATTTCTTTTTGTATTTTTGATCCTCAGACGTGACGTCACCAACAAAATAAACAATGGCAAGAGATTCGATCGCAGGTCGACCTAATAACGTATATTTCAAATGCTTGCTAACTTGCCAATTACATCCAGGCATTTACCATTAGCTCCGAATAATTTTCTGTGACTTGGGGTCAATTTCACGTTTTTCATCTTTTTGAAATCATTTTCGGATATTACCGTAACATCGGCGCCAGTATCAACTTTAAAATTTATTTTGACATTCTTTACAAACAAATCTAGCATCCACTTGTGTGATGATGATTCACCGACATTCTCTAAAAATCCTTTATTTTCGTGCTTTTCGACATCTGAATCTGGAGAATCGACATCCCTATCGACGTGATCAACATTTGTGGCTCCATGGCACCATCTAGCGTAATGTCCAATTTTAGAACATTTGAAACATTTTTCTCGACTGTGTTTGTTTGATTTACCACACCTGCCGCATCGATAATTATTGCTTTGCGACTTTTGCAAGCCGTGTTTGTGCTTACCAAATTTCCTGTGAGATTTCACGGAATCAACAAAATCACAACTTTTGGGAAGAATATCACCTTGTCGCAACATTGATTGCTGACGTTTTACTTGTTCGCTTTGCCGAACTTGTTTAATTGCCTTTTCTAGTGTCAAATCAGGGTCTAACTGTGGCCTTTCCGACAATTTTGCGTCTCGAATTCCTACTACGATTCGGTCACGGATTAAGTCATCGTGCAAATCCCCAAACTGCAAATATTTCGCCATATTGTGGACTGCGGTAATAAATGAATCGACCGACTCATTTTCTCCCTGACAACGAAGGTTGAACTGCGCACGCTCAAAAATTATGTCCCGGCGAATTACAAAATGATTTTGAAACTTGTTTTTAACAGTCTCATAACTTTTCAGCTCATCGTCGCTCAGTTTATAAGAAGATAATATATCCTCGGCTTTCGCGCCCATCGAATAAATAAGCATGTTCACCTGGGATTCACCGTCTTTTTTATTCAACTCGGAAGCAATTCTGTACCGGTCGGAACGTTTAATTCATTGCTGCCATCCTTCCGGCTTGGGAAAATCCAATGTCTCTGGCGGCGCAACTTGAATCGACGCCATGACACTTTTCCGCAAATGCTTTGAAGCTTCTTTTGACTGGTAGTTTTTGCAGCGTTGACACCGTTTTCAATTTGACTTATTCACAATACAGATCCCACTTCTGACACCATGTCGTGTCCCTTATTATATTGGAGGTAAATATAGGCTTACCATAAATCTGAAACAAAAAACCGGGACGGTGCGATTTGGCAAACATTCGGTCGATTGCCAGTCTTGATAATATTGGAACGTCTACCATGCCATTGCGGGTATATACGGCTGTAAATATCTACTGATCATTGAATTAGAAAAAACACAAAAAATTAGTTTGTATTATTCATTTAGACCAAAAGTATTTGTCCGCAGATGGAACCTTTCTCAAAAATTCTTGTTTTGATTTTGTCATAAAACTGATAACAAGAGACATCACCATTACATTTGCAGGTTACGGAGTGGTTTTATATTTTCTTCTGGCATTCTGCACCTGCTTTCGGACCAAAATTTTTTAACAATGGAAAAAATCCTTTTAACAGATGCCGATGTTCCGAAAAACAAAATCAACCAATTTGCTGCAAATTCGAAATGCTAATATTTCTGTTAGAAAAAAACGTTAAACATCTTTGTCCACTTGATTTCAACCGGCAAAGTAAGTCAAATTGCATTTGAACCATGCTCAGATAAATATCTCTTTATCAGTATTCGTCAAAAAGTGCATCGCAATTCAAAACCTGATCAGCTAATCAAACATATCATTTATCAATTTTGCAGACCAAACACTTCAGTCCAGTTTATTTCACTCTTCAAATTTGTCCATATGTGTGGCCTGGCAGCATTGTAGGCTTCATCGCGCAGCTCTATATACGATAGACATTTCTCGTAAAAATCGCAAACATTCTTTTTAAATACAAATTTTTTCCCTGCAAATTTAGCTTCACCTCTGAAAGAATATTTGCAACATCTACGGCAGGGATCGGCAACCTTTTGTCGCCCGCGGGCCAAAATTAAGGGTTGCGAGTCATTGACGGGCCGCACATACTTTTAGAAAGTTGAAACTGAACGGATGATACTTTTTATATTAAAAATCAAGCAGTGATACATCTCTCGAATAGAATATAGATTTATTTCCTCATTGCATCTCAAAAAATTCCATTTGAATATTTTCAGCGCCATTGAACCCTTTGCACTTAGCATCAACTTTTCTGCGTTTTGTTGCCATTCGATCTTGAAGTAAATCATCATTAAATTCAGAGGAGAACCGCGGAGCAATGCACCAACTCTCATTTATTTCTGGCTAAACGTGCAAAATCAGCGAATCCGCTTATCAAACAGCGGACATCAGAAATTCTAACTGTGTATATTTACAAGTTAATGCAAATTTAGCCTAAAAAAAATTTGAAATTAATTTAGAGGTGCAGTCAAAACTTTGGTCATGAATAGCAGTGTGATAGGTAAATGTCGGCTGCCAACGACACAGAATCATCCAAATTTGTTATCGCAAAATTGGTCAGTCGAGTCGATGCCCCAATGTTTATTGTTTTGTGCTTCCTGCTTTGGATATGATCGTTGACATCTGAACGTCCGCCATGACTAATAGAAAAACAGATCTGCAATGCGTACAGTGTACCTTTCCTCCTTCAGTTTGCTTCAAATAAGGTAAATCTTTCTTCAACTCATCAGAAAACTTGTACTTTCTTTTTGGCATTTCGACAACTTAACGACATTGCAGTTAACGCCAGAAAACGCATTAAAACATATACCAATTGTGACATAACAATAGAGCGATTTCTCTCTCTGAACTAGCAAAGTGTGTCGCAAAACAGTGGTAAATGGGCTGTCACCGTTAAAAAAAAATTTGTAATAATAATGAATTTGAATTTTTTACCCATGAAAACCGTGCTGACAAACCGGGACATTTGAGTCAACCGGCCGGGACGCCGGGACAGCTTGTCAAATCCGGGACTGTCCCGGCTAAACCGGGACGTATGGTAAGCCTAGGTAAATAGTCACGTTGTTCGTATGAATGGAATAGTCTTTAATCTTAGCAACAAAACAGTACCATCACATCAACAACAGCCTACTCGAATCCCATTATTACGCGTCTGCGTCGAGTAGACCCAGACGCTATTATTACGTCACAATACTAACATGGATATTTTGCTATATAACCCAAATTTTAAAATATAGGCGGCAAACATGGAAACCCTACAGACTGTCGCAAGATAGCCTTGTCCGCTCCGGGCGGTCAGCGGCGGATGTGTGATACGGTTGAGTGATCATACAGGGGTTTCGTTCAACGACGACCGTGCGTAAGATTTCGAGAGAACTTGCGTGACCGTGCGTGAAGTGTTTACGAGATCTTTCGTGAATCGCACTTATCGAGATTTTGCTGTTGCATTTTTGAGAGACGAAATTACGTGCTCGTAAACGCGGATGTTTACGAAGTTTGGCGAATGGGGCCCCCAGAACTGTATAATGTTTCGTAAAATCTTTGTGTTTCTTTCATTATATCTTATTTATTGGATGAGATACCATGTTCTGTTTTTAAGGTCGATATTGTGAAATTTAGCTTTCTTCGTTTTTCTAGTAAAAAAAAATATTTTCAGTTTTTTCCATCTTCAGTCAATTTTGCTTTACTGCGTATAATATGTCCCCGTGTTATGCTTTGATATAATAAATTTAGTTTTTTCTGTTCCTTTATAAGATTTTTATAGGCGTCTGTGGAATTATTTGAGTGCATTTCATTTCTTAGTTGATTGACTTTAGACTCCAATTCTATCCTTTGTTTTTGCTTTAAGTAGTTCTGGTTACTCGCATAAGCTATGCTTCCCCTCTTATCAAACATTTGAGAACATCCCAGAACAACTGGGGATTAACCGGTTCATGAGAATGATCAATTATTGCATTCGTTATTGTCCTTTTTATTAGATTTATGTAATGTACAAGATGTAGCAATCCTGACGCACGCTAACCAAATAAAACCTTCGCATTGCCACGAGACTATTAACGATGGTGCCACGTTGGCCACATTAGGTGGCGCTAATTCAATTTCATCACATGTAATTTTTATCTTTTGATTATTCGCTGTTTAAGATCTACAGGTTCTAAATATAACCTTAAATAGCTGAATAGTCTAGCATTTTAGTATTCGCTGCTGAATTTCAACGCTCTCATTTATCAGCGACATGTCGAACAACAAAGACATGGCTTCTGTGAGCAACATCTCCAAGCCAAAACCAAAACAACGTCTAAGTAGAAGCCTTCCCGACCCTGGTCTATCACCAATTGGTCTCTTCACGCAAAATCTTGATGAACCTCTAAATTTCCAGGCGGTACTCCAGGAGGCAATACAGAGAAATATAATGAACCAACTTCCTAATTTAATATCTCAGAAAATTTTCCGAATATCTTCCCACATGATGTATGATGAAATTCTAGCAAATCAAAGAACTACTGATGAAACACTAACACAACATGGCAAATGGATAAGAAAATTGGAAGATATAGTCTATACTCTTGAAGGAGATCTGTACTATGTAACTGAAAAATTAGAAGAACATGAACGTAGATCTAGATTGGATAACTTGGAATTTCATGGTATTGCACCCAAAGACAATGAGGACACTGACAAACTGATTACAGAAATCGGCAAAATGATCCATGTCGATATAAAAACCTCGGTTACCCATCGTTGTCCGACACGTAACCCCAAAATTCACAAGCCCATTGTCGCAAAATTCACCAACCGGAAGATTCGTTCCAAAATTCTCAAAAACCGCCATCTAATCAAAACCGCAACCAACACAACTTCAATACGAAACATATCCAAAGTATTCATTGTCGAGAATCTGACTGACAAAAACAAAAGCTTATTTTACCAAGCAAAAGTTCTTAAAAAACAGTGCGGATATGCATTTTTATGGACTTCAAATGGAAAGGTGTTGATGAAAAAAAATAAAGGCACCAATACTTTACCTATAAATGATGAATAATGTTTGGAAAAAATGAGATAAGTCTGTTTTTCTTTATATTGTCAAAATGCCATCCTTTATTATATCATGTTCAATTTAAATTACTTTAGTACCTGCCTGTTAAATTTATACCACCTTTTGTCCCTTATGCCATGTAATAAGCCTTGTAATAATCACAATCATATTCCAAAAACTTTTATCTAAACCATACCTCCCTAGCAAGAGCTAACTTCTAACCCTAACCTGAATTGGGAATCAACTAGTTTTCATCCATATATGTCCACAACCCCAAGTCGATACATCGAAATATCCGATATTGACAGATTATCATCTGGTTTCTTGTCGTCAGATCTTATTATTTTACATCTTAATATTAGATCCTTGGAAAAATACACTGATGACCACGTAGAACTGATAACTAATTTTCATACCCCACCTCAAATTATTGCTTTAAGCAAAACTAGGATCCAAAGTAATAATGTTGACATTCCTGGATACATCTTTAGTCACGTTCCATCCCCAACCCAAGCAGGTGGTGTGGGTTTGTATATTAAAAATAACATAAATTACCAAATAAGTCAAGAATTCAACTCATACTTTAATGATTGCGAGGACTTGTGAACTAAGATGACGTATTCCCCACCAAATTCAAAAATCCAAAGCCTTATTATTGGTGTTATCTACAATCACCCTAGGCGTAAC